TCTTCCTTCTCTCGTCTTCTCCACACCGATCTTCTTCTTCTTCTAATAATAATAATAATAATAATAAAAAAATCAAATAAATATAGACAACAAAAACAACCACAACAACAACAACAACAACAACAACAACAAAAACAACTACAACAACTACAACAGCAGCAGCAGCAACAACAGCAACAACACCAATAATTAAATAATACCAACAACAACAACAACAATAACGACGACGACGACGACGACGACAATAACAACAACAGCAGCAGCAACAACAACAACAACAACAACAACAACAACAGCATCAACATCGGCAACAACAACAGCCAGTCTCGCAGTAAACGGTTGCGCGTAGTGCGGGAGCCGCGTGTTTTTTTCGACCGCCGTGTTTTTTCGTCCCACCTTCGCTCGCGCCTGGTAGCCGCATGTCGTACACCTTATCATCTCGTACATTGATTGGACCTACACGTTACTATTAGCCCAGCAAAGTCCAGCTATGTAACAAACATCGATTGCCTGTGTTTGCCAGCATGCGCTGTGTTTTTTTGCCGCTGTCAGTCAAAAAGAAAGTGTACATATGGTACATTTTATAGCGATGTCATTAAACCACAATCGCGAAATAAACAGGCGCGTTTGACACGTGTATGTACATACGGATATATTTACCCACATAATTTATATCGTTATTGTATATGGAGGGAATCCGTCGCTCACATATCGTCGCCTGTCATTTTTTAATTGTGTAGTCATTATTATTTTTATTCAGTATGCATTCGGCCTCACGTATGTAAAGGATATTCGACGGTGCGTGCGAGCACAGCAATGGCTTTTTGATTCCAAGTTTATCTCCAACTCCATATCTTTACGATCTGCCACAGATATGAGACGAAGGGAGGTCTATAGAGGTAGAGATTGTTTTAGGTATATGTGCATCCGCAATATAGTAGCACACGGTCCCCCCGACAAAATAGTAATACGTTCAAACATTGTTTATTACGCGAATTCGTAGTGGTATCTGGAAGAATAATATTGCGTTGTTGAATATCGTATCTCGGCGAATGGTTGGCCTTTGACCGTAAGGAGCGAGAAATAAGGTGTTAACGATAGTGTAATGTACATGGGATTAGTAATAGACATAGTCAAGTCTATATACTCTTTGATAATGCAAACATGCTCACGCACAGCGACGTTGTAACTGTATAAGTACAAGAGCGTAAGAACGCGTTGCGGACTGCGAGCCGACGAAAGAATGTTCCAGAACTTCTGGAACATTCCCTCGTCGGCAAACTTTTGATCAATTCCTCGATCAGGCAGGGACTCTGGAAATTCTCAACAGGTCGAGCAGAAAACGTTCTCGGAGACCATTCTCACTCGGCAGAACTTCGGAACATTCTCAGGTCGGCAAGAACATGAACATTCTCACTCGGCAAAGTCTGGAACATTCTCTCGTCGGCAGAACCTCTGGAACATTCTCTCGTCGGCAGAACTTCTGGAACATTCTCTCGTCGGCAGAACCTCTGGAACATTCTCTCGTCGGCAGAACTTCTGGAACATTCTCTCGTCGGCTCGCAGTAAAAAGTTAGGCATTGCGAGTAGTGAGTGAATTCCCGGTTATTCGTATGATACGATATTCTATAATAATTCTACGATAAAAATAATCCGACATTCTACGAAATCCGGTGAATTTCATCGAGCGATTTCCGATATAACCGGAAACTTCTCACTACTCGCAACATTTACGCGCTTTCTACTGTGAGATCGCGACCAAATGGGGTTATGTACTTCAGGGTACCACGGGGGGTACAGGGCTATATACTTCAATCACCCCCACGTCTTTACCAACGGGTCTAATCGCTGGTCAAACACACACAGCAGCCGCTGTTTAAATCGTCGCGAGTTTACGACTGTTCTGTTTGGAGCGCTCGTGACCAAGTGGCGGGCAGGCTATTCGCGGCCACTTTCCCCCAGAGATACGACTAGATACTCAAACATCTCTTACAGCCGTCTCTCTCGAATTCGCTTTCGCCCTCTCTTTCTCTCTTTTCTCTCTCTCGCTCTCTCTCTCTCTCTCTCCTCTCTCTCGACGTCGCTCTCTCCCCCCCATCCTCTCTCTCTCTCTCTCATCGACGTCGCCTCTTCCTCCCCCTCTTCTCTCTCTCGCTCTTTCTTTCTTTCTCCAATTCCTGCAAGTAAGATAGGGCAGATCGATAGGTAGACGCGAAATTACGTCGACCGTTTCTACACACTATACGTTATATTATGTGTGCCTATGACAATGTGTGCGGTGCGTGACGCGCATGTTATGCTATGGCTTGGCGCCACGCGTTTGTATATGTACGTGTTGCCACGTGGCGTTGTCAGTAAATAAGAAATTACAATAGAATAATAACGAGGCTCATACGCCGTCTCGCAAGCTTCTTCTCCGCGAAACCATAATTCGCGGGTAACCTCCGCCTCGCGCTCACACATCCGCAGCGGAACACGCTGAGCAGGAAGCTGTCACGGCAGGGGACGTCTTCCCGTACTGTGTCGCAGCCAGCCTAGTGATTACCCGGCGCGTACGTGCCAAAACAACCCAGTCAGGCAATCCGCCCCTGCCTGCTAGGATTTGCTGCCTAACCGGGTCGGCTTAACACACAATGGTTGATTATGCCTGACACGCTAACTCAGAGCTGCGTCAGCATCTGTTACCCGTACCTAGCGCGCTTCTCTCTCCTCTCTCTCATCAGTCTCTTCTCCTCTCTCTCTCTCTTCTCTCTCTCACGATCTCTCTCTCCTTCTCTCTCTCTCTCTCTCCTCTCTCTCTCTCTCTCTCCTCGGTCTCTGATCATCTCTCCGCTCTCTCTCTTCTCCTCTCTCGTCTCTCGTCTCTCTCTCTCGTCTCTCTCTCTCTCTCTCTCTCTCTCGTCTACTTCTCTTCTCTGTCTCTGTCTCATGTCTCTTCTCTTCTCTGGTCTCTGTCTCCTTTGCTCGTCTCTGTCCTCTCCTTCCTCCTGTTCGTCTCTTCTCCTCCTCCCGCTCTCTCTTTCTCTCTCTCTCCTCTCAGTCTCTCTCTCTCTCTCTCTCATCGCGCGCACTCATTCACGAACGGTCGCGGGCCCTCCCGCACCAAATAGTGGGTTCTGTGCTCTCTGATTGCTGCTGACACTTTGTGTCATATGATTTTTATGAACATGCCCAAGTTTACTTCTGCACATAGGATTGCACAGCTAGAGGAGTCATACAGCAAGTTTTTGAAGTACAATTTTAAACCCAATTTTGAACGTTGAGCTCGATATAATAAATGGTTTAGAAAGAATTGCTGTTCATGGCACCAACGTGTGGAGTGGATAGTGAAAGCAGGCGTGTGATAGTGTGGACAGCATAGGCTGTGTTAGGATAGCACATCATAGGATTCTACTATACTATAGGATAGCATAGCTTATTATAAGCAGTAAACAGCAGAGATTGAAAGTCACATGAGGGACATGTCGGTGCTGCCACGTAGCGGACCGTTTAGATAAAATGTTCGTTTTAAAAGTATATATATTAATTGAATTCTTTCGTTGAAAAGTAACGTCAAAATGTTTCCACTAAGTACAAAGTCAAACATTTCAGTAATTAGATGAATTAACAATAGGTAACCACCTTTATTTTCTTTCTAAAATTCTAAACAAAATTGCTTTGAATATTTTTGGCATCTTTTAGCATTAATTATCAAAGTGCATCGTCAGGAATATTTCACATTCCATATACAAACTAAGAAAGCTTGCTGTATTATTTCAGTTACACAATAATATCAATACAAGATACGATTAATCTGCCTGCAAAGACATGGAAGAACCTAAAGCTAAATAATATTGGTCAAATGTTGCGCATAACTCCTGTATCACTAAAAAAGGTAAAGAATTATAACGCCCTCTGCAAAATTAAACTGTGGAGAAAACTGCCAATGCTACTCAGCTCAGCAAACTAGCAAGCCTAATGTATGACATGGATTATATGCGCTACACTATGACACCTGGAATTCATAAAAAGTTTAATCAAGATTCACATATATAATGTCCATAAAGACAATGTGAAAAAATACAAATTTGTACAAAGCTTAAATAGAGTTTGTTCTTTACTATAGGTATGCTGTTGTAGATTCATTATAGTTATGTTCCAGATGCCCTCCCATAGTAATAATACTTTTCACAAAATATCAAATTCTTATTAACTTTTAGACGTCTCTTTGCATAAAAAATAGTTATTCAACGGACAGTGCTATGTACAAAACTGCACTCTAAACTGTAGAGTAACACTGGCAGACCATGCACCACAGGAACAGCCTACATAGATTAACTAGCATGTCAAATCCTGTAAGTTTGCCCGACGAGCTACAATTCGAGATGCAGAACACACCGAAGCAGGCCGCCACCCGTTTGTCGGCGTTCTCTCTTCCTACACGCAGCCACCAGTTTGAATTCCTGCGCCAACTCACGACGACGAACGTTGGGACGGCATGTTCCGTCACGAGACATCGCCTTCTCGTCCGGACAAGACCAACGCTTGCAAAACAGACCGACTAACGCGACATAGACACCCGGCGCGCCGTCTGCGATTGCGTCGACGCGACTCTCTACGGCAAACTACGACGACTACCCTGCAACGCACCAGCTGCGCAGCGATGGCGCATGTTGACCCTCACAACCCCTGCACGCAGCAAGATGGCGGCAGCTCACTGGTGCTCGCTACCTACACTCGACGATCGCTGCTGGTGACACCAGTTCTAGGTCTATAGTACGTACAATGCGGTGATGGCAGGAGGCGGCGGCGGCGTGGCGCTACGCGTCGGCATAGTATCGCTGCTTCATCGCCCGGTATTTGCGCAACTTGTAAAGCGCTTCGAGTTCCTTCATGACGTATTCACCGCGAGCCAATAGCATCTCAATCTGCTCCGGATCTTTGACGTCCTTGTTCTTTAGAAATGCAGCCTTCAGCCGGTCATGGAAGTACTCCTGGCCTTTCGGATATTCTTTCCCAAGATAGTGCAGCTGTACGAAGCGATGATAGACAGGGTGAGCATGGGGCAAACTGATAGTGTTAGAGGTGAATCCTAACAAACTCCAGATCTCAATTTAGTTATGTTATCATTACAGTTTCCTACTGATAATTACGGTAGATGCAATTAATATATTTGTTTATTTGTCAGTTTCAGTTTGCTTATCATTATGCAATTCAGCAAAAAATCCAAGTTGGGTGTCCAGATTGGCACTTACACCATATGGCTGCACCAACATATTAATATGTGTTCCCAGTTGTATAATATATGAACGAAAATATGTAAAAGGCCCAACAGCGCTGCCTACTGCGACAGGGCTTGATCCGATTGGAAGGTAGAAATTGAACAGAATTGGCTGAAGGACAGATGATACCTCAAGTTTTCTGTATAGTGACATGCAGGACACACCAACTTGAAGGTTTTAAGGATGGTATGCTACATCATGCCCATAGCCTACCTAAAGAACTACACCACTTGTTAATTCTGCCGAAATTAATTTCCTGAAGTGGGGAAAAAGATGCATTAACATGTCTTTATGCAATAAACTCACACATATGCACAAATTAAGAAGCTTTCTGCCATCATGCCACTGCATCTGACATTAGGGGATATGATATATGCTGTTATCTACAACTTACAAGAAATGATGGCGGAAATTTCTTAAAATTGTGCATAGCTGTGAAGTTATCCCTTCTAGTTCTACAGGAAATGCAACATAGGTGTAATGTGGTGGCGGCACAGTTTAGTAGGTAGGTTATGTGCATGGTGTAACACATTATCTGGTCTTAGTCTTACTCTTACATTTTTGTACAGCCATATAACTCTTGATCGCACTGATGCCATGGTTTGTACAATTTTAACTGTAGTGTACGTGCATAGGAACTATCAAGGATCCCTAGATCTGCAATGAAAAATCCAGAATGTTAGTAGAATAATACATGATTTACAGTACGGCGTAGTTATGACCAAACCATGTCCCATCTTATGATCTTTCGACTTTCTGAACACCAAGTTACTATGTCACTAACACAGTAACAGTAACACTAACACTACAGTCTACAGTAAACAGATCATCAGATGACATCAGACATGCGACTCGCGAGTACCAACTGAGAATAACATCATTAGAATATATTTTGTAATACAGGAGAAAATATCTTGTGTAAACGTGGACGAGCTCAAGATAAAGATGAACGACCTTGCACGGTACTTTCAGACACTGTAGAGTGTAGAACAAAAATATAGCTTACCAGTATAAAATCTTTCGCTGAGCGTATAAAACTAATGCGAGGGGGCAGCCATTCTTTAGTCATAAATCGTCATTTTCCAGTAGACTGACTCTGGAAGTCGTTGTTCTTACAATTTTCGTAGTAATAGAGGCGTTTGGATACCATCTAGTTTGTATCTGCCAATATATTTTTGCGACATATGCTCAGCAGTTGGTATCGTTCTCAGGGATGCATATTATTCTCGTTGGATATATTATAAGTTTAATTGCAATAATTTATATGTATAATATATATGATATGTGTTTATTTCTATATTTGTTTACACGAGGATTTAGGCCGCTCCAGCTACAGCTGCCGGATTTAGGCCGGTCCGCTCCAGCTCCAGCTTATCAGCAAAGCTGTCGTAAAATGTTCCCATACGCACAAGCGTCAGTGGCAACGAGAATGTAGCCTGTAGCCGAGTAGTGTAGCTGTTGTTATTTATTATTGCTAAATAGTACTACTATAGTACTTAGTAGATTCTTGCAGCCCAGTAGTTGCTGCCGTGATAAAATTTAGGCACTTAGTACGATCAGGCGAAAACACATCATAAGTGCAGTTCGATGGGGGTAAATTCTAACCTAAATCACATTGTAAATCAGTTTCTGCGAACCCATGTTCATGACTCATTGTCTGACATTGATTGGAATTCTCTTCGTTCCCCTTCTTTGAATTTGGTTTAAACTTAAAGCGTATTTAAAGTCTTTTTACTGCGAACAGCAGTAGAAGCAGAAGAATAGCAATAGAAATAGCAATTGCAAAAGAATAGAAGCAGCAATAGAAGTAGAACAGCAGTATTGATCTGTCTATTTGATCAACTTTGTCTCTCCCCTTCTTTGATATACGTAACCTAGTCCCCTGGCTTGGACTTTGAAGACTAATCTAAATCTTTATGAGGTTTGATGTTGAATGCATGACAGCATGTGTCAAATATCGACGTGTAACGTTTGACTTGTCTTGTTTTGTTTTCAAAGTTTTGTTTTGCTCACTGTGCTGAGTCTGAATATCTCATTCAGCATCACATGTCATTATATATATCATATGTACTATAGTAGGCCCTAATTAAGCAGCAGGTTTGTGTCTTTCCAGCCAAAAAAGAAAGCCAACAAAGCAGAAAAGGAGCGTGTGAAGAAACAGGAAGCTGAACGGAAGGCGATAGAGGAAGGCATGCTTTTTAGTTATCATGTTAATTTATTATTAACTCCAAGAGTACATATATACTACATATACCTAATACAATAGATTATAGAATGGTTTTTATGTACTTCTGTTTACTTTATCTCTAAACATATAGCATGTATTGGCATACATGAAATGTAGTTGAGAAGGAGAGAACTAATATATGCAGATGCACATGCACAGGGCTCGAATTAACCGACGGCACCAACGGCAATTGCCGGCGGTGCCCCTATCAATCGCCGTACTGCCCCTGAAAATCCAACCCGACCGACGGCAGTGACCTGCCTTGCCCTTTTCTGTAATTGCCGTCGGTGCCTCTGCCTCTGGCTAGACTGGTTCGCAGCCGCACTGTTTGTCGCAGAGCGTGTACATTCTCTAGCAGAGCGTGAGGCCGGATACCAGTCTACCCGGCGGCAAAAACAATAACGTGGTATTGCTGCCAACCGCTGCCAGTAGACGATCGATAAATAGTGCACCTGTGTATGCCCATGGTAGAACACGAATATTTAAATGCTGCACGCCCTGACTCGGCCCGCGTGCGATTTAAAGCGCGGGAAACGACGCTCGCGCAAGAATGGCCAGTGATCTGTACGGTGTGTAGCTTGCTAAGTGCAGTAAATTTAGATAAATTTTAGTAGAATTCATACGATGACACAAAGTTTTCCATAACAATGGCATTGGTGCCCTTCTCAAATTGTGAGAGTTGCCTTGATGCCTTTTAAAATTGCCTCGGTGCCCATCCATTTTAGAGAAAATTCAAGGCAATTTCTCACATGCCCCCAAAAAATTGCCTTGCCCCTCTCGTCGCTTAATTCGAAGCCTGCACATGCACATACATAAATTATATACATATATATATTGGGAATCGTATGTATGCCCAAATATTTTTCCCATATGGGAAAAATGGATGCAAAGAGCTTTGCAACGATAAACTACCATTCTTCTAAGCTATACAGTGTATTGTATATGTACGTAAAATGCCATTAACTACGTGCGTGTAAACCTCTATGCAGAAGAAGCAAGGGTAAAAGCTAATCGAGAAGAAGCTGAGAGACGAGAACGAGAAGCGATAGAAAATGAAAAGAGAAGACAGCATGAGGAAGAGGTAAGTGCATCCCAGAGTTAATTACATGTACACATTTATTTTGCCATGAAGTACATAAAATATATGGTAAAATTATAGACGTAAATTAAATGGATTTTAAATTTTTGTTGAAATAGGCACTTAAAATATGGGAAGGTCACAAGACAGAATTTGACATCTTGTGGAACCAACATACAAGTCAACTTGAACAGTTTCATGATGAAAGAAGGAAGGCAGAAAAGGTAGTCTACACATTTGTTAGCTGACTAGTTGACTTTGCTATCAATTGCGATAATTTGTGAATGTTACAGTCTCGAATATAGTTTTAAATATTTAACGAGACAATTGTGTGGTTGATTGTAGTGGCAACGGTATGTAGAATGCAGTGGACTACCAAACCCAACCATCCCAGGTGAAATCAACACCTACATCACTCTATTAGAAGAGGATAAGGAGAACGAGGACATAAAATCTGTACAGGATGAGAGCTGTAGAATTCTCACTGTGAGTTATGCTTCCTTGTTGTTTCATAAGTTGTATTAGTAGTAGTCTTGGAATTAAGTCTGAAAATCCAGCCAGTTAATTCTGAGTTTGAAAGTGTTGATTTCTACTGTATAACCTAAAGTAGAATCACCAAAAAATTTGCCAGTCTTGCTCAAAATTTACCAGTCCCAGACTTGGGTATGTGCTGCTATTTCCAGCACTGTTGGTAGGGTGTAGTTATATAATTGTAAGGTGTAGATTTCTCCTAATGTGATGAATTTGAACCTGCAGTCAGGTAGCATGCATGTGAGAGTATATTCAATGACATTCATTTTTAGATGCTGACAACATTTGCGAATAGATTGCCAACATTTAGCAGCACATTATTATTTGAGATACTAATAGTAGATGCTGCAATCGGATATGCCTTCCTCTATGAGCCGATCGTAAAACCGATTCACCCCTCAGCATCACTTGTTCTCCCGGGGTTCACGATGTGTCGTTACTTGCAGCTCATTAACGAGCTGGAGGAGCTTCTAGATGACATGCCTGCTAACGAGCGGCAGCATCTAGAACCCGACTACAGCGCCACCAAGGAGAAGCTTCAGTCACTACTGCAGAGGAAGTTAGATGCCGCCACATATAATCTGCTACTGGTAGAGTTCACATTGTGTGCTCGCTATTTTCTGTGTTCTCTATAATGAATCCGTGACTGACGTTCAAGTTACATTTTAGAGTGAAATTATTGTATTGTAACTGGCCAATTTAATAGCAGTTAACATAAACAAATGAACCGGCTCATCTGATTTGGCTTTGATGTGTTCTCTCATTAGGTCTCCGGTTGTGTAAATCTCACAAAGGTGTTACCAGAATTTAGTTACGAATTACAGTTTAGTCCCCCAAGCATCAGCTGTGAATTACCTTTAATAACCATATAGCATTATCTTAGGATGCCAGCGTATTGGCGGATCCAGAGAGCCAAAATCTGCAGTACGTCATGGGAAATGAGGACATGAAGCTGTGCCTGTGGGGCAACATTGGCAAGAATCCACGGTATGCACTGGGGTTGTGGCAATATACAGAGGTAGCAATATAGTGCAATATGCCGAGGTATCAATATCGTGCAATATGCCGAGGTATCAATATAGTGCAATATACCGAGGTATCAATATCAGGGTGCGAAATTAACGGGAGTCCGGGGTCAAATACTCCCTGATTTACTGACGGACTCCTGATTTGATATATGCAGGAGTCCGTGTGACTCCATGAAAAATTCTGCCATACTAACTAGTTCATTCCAGGGCACACCTCGTGGAATTCAGCAGTAATTTTTTTCAGCAAATGTCCAAAGAAAATTTTGGGCAGATATGCAGCCGCATGAATCTTCGAAAATAAGCACATATGGCGTATTGTTTAATATCTTAATTGAACTTCAGACTAGCGGACTCCCCTCATTTTGCACGCACTCCGCTTTTTTTGAGGAGCAGGGGTTGGACGCCCTGTTTAAAAGTTAATTTCTACCCCTGAATATAGTGCAATATACCGAGGTATCAATATAGTGCAATATGCGAGGTATCATATAGTGGCAATATGCCGAGGTCTATCAATATCGTCAATATGCCCGAGGTAATATATACTGCATTAGTGCATGACGTGATTAATCGTTGAAATCTCATTGATAACGCAGCAGGCAGCTAATGAAGGCGATAGTGCCCGCCTGAGCGGGACTAATTCTTGCCGCGACCGCCATTGTTATTATAACGCATTGTGTTTACGTCACGAATCTCCGCTGCGTCATGGCGGCCAAACCAAGATTTTCGAACGGCGGTTTGTGTTTGTGTCACGTATTGATTAACACTCGAATGCAGCCGCAAATTAGGGAGTATAATAAAGGTATATAAGCATGAAACGTAGATTGCATAGTCAATGTGATGCACTAAAACATTAATGCCTGCTGTATGGGGCACTAAAATGCCTCAATAGTCGTTGGCTTTGGGAAGGACGCCTCCTCCCCCTCCCTCTCAGCGTTCCTTCCCTCAGCAACACTATGAGAGGCTAGTGCGCCCCATACAGCAGGCATTAATATATAAATATACAGAGGTATCAATATAGTGCAATATGCCGAGGTATCAATATCGTGCAATATGCCGAGGTATCAATATAGTGCAATATGCTCCCTGGCAATAGGTTGATCTTATCAGTAGTCAGTGGTAGTCAGTAGTAGTGGTAGTCAGTAGTCTCATCAGCAGTCTTGTCAGAAGTATCAAATATGCACTGTATAAAAAATATAATATGGTATCTGTGCTGATCCTGTACTAGACGGACCTAGCGTGTAGACATCTATCTGTGAGTATCATAGCAAGATGCCACGTTTTACGCTTACCTATGCTCTCGATCGCTGATGCGTGGCATGCTGTCACCCTGTGTGCAGGTTGAAGTCGCATTCGTTTAAGGACGTCGGCTACTCGTTTGAGATCCCGAAATCCCTGACGTCGGCCGACGTAGCCGCCCGCATTCTCTACACGTCGCATGACCATTACTCAGCGCTCGCTCGAAGCTACGCCTGCAACAAGTTGAAGCCGGCAATCGACACGGGTGCGACTGCGTTAATCTATCTCTCGTATATCGATGCATAATAAATGAACAATTGTGATCGATGAGCGTGTTAATGAACTATTTTGCGAGGCGTTTCTCGTTGGAAATGAACTTGATCTTTTTCATGGTGATGATGCCTATCTAGTGTTCATACTCTGTTGTTGTTTCAGGTAAGGGCATAGAGTCACTATTAGAGACAACCATCACAGAAGGGTCGGATGGGAAGTCAACATCAACGTTAGCTGATCACGGTGATAGCACGGTGGTGCAAAAAGAAGAAGAGCAAAAATCAAATGTGTCCGTGATTGTCAAGGTGAGATGTCTTGATGCAAATTATCACATAACTTCTGGAATAATTCATCATTTTTAGCTCGCCTTGACATCGTCAAGATGAGCTATTGCCATGGGGTGTGGTCCGTCGTACGTCCGTCAACATTTGGCTACGGTCAACGATAACTCAAGAACCGTTTGACCCACATGTCTCAAATTGCATACAGTTGTTACTCCTATGGGAGAGGTTTGAACGTCCTATTTTGGAGCACGCCATGCAGTCGACCTACTTTCGAGCCATGTCCACTTTTTGGCAAAAATGGAAATGGCCATAAGTCAGTTCAGGTTTAACGGATTTTGCTCATTTCTGGTATGTGAATGAATAAGGACTGGCCCCAAAACATATCACACAGGTTTTGATATTTTTTTTAAATTATGCAAATTAGGTAGATTTTAGCAATTTCACTATGCATTTCCGTGTCTGCCTACGGTCAACGATAACTCAAGAACCGTTTGACCCACATGTTTCAAATTGCATACAGTTGTTACTCCTATGGGAGAGATTTGAGTGTCCTATTTTGGAGCATGCCAGTCGACCTACTTTCGAGCCACGCACACTTTTTGGCAAAAATGAAAATGGCCATCTAGATTCATTTGATTTTGTTAAATTTTGGTATATGAATGTGTAAGGCTAGCCTCAAAACAGTTGTTACTCCTATGGGAGAGATGACAACGTCCTATTACATTTATTTCGCCTAACTGGTTAACAACTCTACAATCATACCAATATACGTGTAATATTGTGTTTTAGATTCTTCGTTACAGTAATTTGACTGGAATATTTTATTGATTTTTATTTGCGCGATATTCGAAAACCAAAATGGCGATCATTTAGGCATAGCGCCATCTCTCGTCAAGATTTCAGACATGTTTTCAGATCTGAAACATTTATTTTCGCATCAAAACTTATGCATATATCATTATCAATAGTATATAATGGGAGTATATAATGGAGTTCTCCCATATATACTCTTGCTTTATATATCCCCCCTCCCTCTTCTATCACACCCAAGGTGAGCTACAGTGTCATTGACACTTTCATTCTATTTAGTCTTTATTCACAGCTTAGCAGACTCAAGTAAAAGTGGCAAGTAAAAATGCCATCCTTGATTGTAAAACATTGGATATCTTTCATAATCTATGACTTAGATAAACTAATCTAAATTAAAATTACATGTGTTTCCGTAGAGTACAGCACCTTCTGCGGAAAGCGTTATAGGAAAGAAGTCTACGATTGACTACAATTCAGCAGCATCCTTGTCAGTAGAGGGAGCCGAGAGCAGCAGCAACATGGGAGACACTCTAGCTGGTAGAAGCCTTGCCCCGACACTCTGCAGCATAGAAGGTGAGCTATGACTGTGACGAGGGGATCCGATTTGGCATTGGTAAGGAAGACCAGCGAATTAAACATGTTTGTTTGCAGAAGCCACCGACGGAGGGGTCATGGACGTCGACGAGGTAGACCTGAGAGCGTTCTCCACGCTCGGAGGCGTCCTCAGCTTCCTCTTCCTGCAGCTGCCTCCTCAGCCGAAGCTCGTCAGCAAATGGACTATGACGCAGAGTAAGCTTATACATAGATAACAGTAGACGACGGCAGATGTCGATTTCTACAATGGACCAGATTCGGGGAATGCCCGAGACCGTAAATTAGGGAGTTGGTATTATCAGGAGTGAATAATAATAGATTCTAGATCTATAATAATAGATAATAACAATCTTAATAATAGATCTATTATTATTCACTCCTGTTATTATGTATAGTTATGCCCGACCCGACCCAGTCTAATATACTGGTAGTTCCAAAAAATACGTAAAAATAAAAGCAATCTATAATAAATTTTGACTGCACCCATAACGCCTCGCCTGTGTGCGGTTAACAACTTCTAAAGGCTTAAAGTCGGTGCGGATGTTCGACTCTCGGGACTGTGCTGTGTAGCTGTGGTGATGCCGTGCGTGTTTTCCTCCGGCAGTAGAGAGGCCGCAGGAGCTGAGGGTGTGTGAGTGCGTGTTGGGTCGCTCGGGTCCCGGGTCCACGCCCGGCAGCTCGCTGACCGGCACACAGACCTCACTCAGTGAAGTGCCTTACCCCAAGCCGACGCCTACAACGGCAACGATGCCCTTGTCAGGCGGTGGCCAGCAGGTGGCTGTCACCATCAGGTAGGCAACGAGAAACTACGGCGAGAGATATTTACATATAAATACATATAACATATACACATGTATTATGTATATACATATACATATATATACATAAAATTACATGCAATAAAGATTTAATAATAATAATATTAATCATGTCAGGAGCGAATGAAAAGCAAAAAACAACAACATAACATTGTTTGTAACAGCTTTTACTTTTTTTGCACTCCTGGTAATATTAACTCCATCTCTTGTCCATATCTATACACTGGTATTATCAACTCCATATCTATACATAGTATTATAGGAGCCCATCATAACAGTTTGGTTGCACTCCTGATAGTATATGTTGATCGTGAGATCGGGAATGTTTAAATTGTACGTCGGTTTCAATACGTGTATCAATTTTAAAGTATTATGTTCAGAGTAAACGCAAAGTAACGTAGCTGTCTTGCGCCGAGTCATTTTCCATCTTTAATGTTGGTTGACGTTTCTCTACGCATGGCCTCGATGCTGGCAGGATACCGCCGGACGTGATATTCTGGGAGGAGCCTCAGCTTGCTCACTGGGACCCGGCTATACAGCAATGGCGGTTGGATGGCATGCTAGACGTTGTCTACAACGAAGGTTTGTTTCAGTGGAGGGAGGCTCATCACACTCAGTATGAGTAGTTACTTGTGTTACAGCGAAGGCAGGTTTCTCACTCAGTATGTCGAACATTTACTTGTGTTACAGCGAAGGCAGGTTTCTCACTCAGTATGTCGAACATTTACTTGTGTTGCAGTGGAGGCAGGTTTCTCGCT